CACCATGCCCAGCTAATTTTTTTCTCTATATATTAGTTGTTGAATTAATTTCTTTCTATTTATAGTAGAGACGGGGTCTCGCTCTTGCTCAGGCTGGTTTCCAACTCCTGACCTCGAGCAATCCGCCGTCCTCAGCCTCCCAGAGTGCTAGGATTACAGGTGTGAGCTACCGGCCCAGGGACATTCTTAATTAGCTATCAAGGCTGCAGTTCTTTGCTATTGTTCTTTCACGGTGAATCAGAGCAATGCTTAACAAAAGCATGCTGAAGAGACACTGTACTTTCTTCATGAACATAGTAGGGAGCTATCTACAGCCCATTCAATATATTCTGCATGCAAATAAGAAGTTAGAACGGGACAAAAACCCACTTTGTTGCCTTTCTCAAAGTGGTGGTATTCATGGCAGTCTTTAAAGGGAAATGGTACATAGAAAGAGAAAAAAAACAAACAAAAAACAAAAAGAGAGCTAGAGGCATCACACTACCTGACTTCAATATATGTTTCAAAGCCAGAGTAACCAAAAAAACATGGTACTGGCATAAAAATAGACACACAGACCCATGAAACAGAATAGAAAACACAGAAATAAATCCACATACATACAACCAACTGATATTCAACAAAAGTGCCAAGAACACACCATGGAGAAAAGACAGTCTCTTCAATAAATGGTGCTGGGAAAACTGGATATTCACATGCAGAAGAATAAAGCTAGACCCCTATCTCTTACCATATACAAAAATCAAATCAAAATGGAATGAGCACTTAAATGTAAGACCTAAAATGATAAAAATACTAGAAGAAAATACACAGGAAATGCTTCATGATATTGGTCTGGGCAAGGATTTTTTGAATAAGACCCCAAAAGCACAGGCAACAAAAGCAAAAATAGACATATGGGATTACATCAACTATAAAGCTTCTGCACAGCAAAGGGAACAATCAACAGAGTGAAGAGACAGCCTATAGAATGGGAAAAAAATATGTGCAAACTCTGCATCTGCAAGGGGTTAATATCCAGTTATATAAAGAACTCAAAAAACTCAATAGCAAGAAAACAAATAATCCAATTTTTAAAAAGGGCAAAATATATTAGACATTTTTCAAAAGAAGACACACAAATGGCAGAGACGTGAAAAACTGTTCAACATCAGTAATAATCAGAGAAATGCAAATCATAACCACGATGAATTGTCACCTCAATTAGAATGGCCATTATCAAAAAGACAAAAAATAACAAATGATGGCACAATGTGGAGAAAGGGAAACTCTTATACACTACTAGTGGCAATGTAAATTAATACAGCCATTATGGAAAACAGTATGGAGTTTCCTCAAAAAGTTAAAAATAGATCCAGTGATCCCATTATTGAGTATAGATCCAAAGGAAATGAAATCAGTATTTTGAAAAGACATCTGCAGTCCTATGTTTATTGCAGCAGTATTCACAATAGCCAAGATAGTGAGTCAACCTAAGTGTCTATGAAGAGATGAATGGACAAAGAAAATATGGTGCATATATACAATGGAATACTATTTGGTCATAAAAAAAAATGAAATCCTGTCATTTATGGCAATATAGAGGAACCTGGAGGACATTATGCTAAGTGAAATTAGCCAGGCACAGAAAGACAAATACCACATGATCTCACTCCTATGTGGAATCTAAAGAAGTTGGTTTTATAGAAGTAGAGAATAGAACAGTAGTTATCAGAGGCTAGGGAGGGTAAGGGAGAGAGGGATAGGGAGAGATTGGTCAATGGATGCAAAGCTACAGGTAGATAGGAGGAATAAGTTCTAATATTCTATTGCAAATTAGGGTGATTATGGTTAATGATATTGTTTATTTCAAAATAGCTAGAAGAAAGGATTTTGAATGTTCTCACCACAAAGAAATGATAAGTGTATGTGGTGATAGATATGTTAATATGCTGAACATCACCTTATACCCCATAAATATGTGCAATTTTTATGTGTCAGTTAAAAGAAAAAGGAAACAGAACATCATGTAATGATAACAGAACAATTATATATTATATACTTGTGAAAGGAAGCTTTTTTTTTAAATCTACTTACCTCTGAAGTTTTTAACAGAGACATTATTTTATAGATCATAGAAGTTAACATTATTTTTCTAAACAGAAAAGAATTATGTGCCCTAAAAAAGTAAAATAAAATACAAGATCAGTTCTCAAAAAGAGAATAAAATATGGCTGGGCGCAGTGGCTCACGCCTGTAATCCTAGCACTCTGGGAGGCCGAGGTGGGTGGATCACTCAAGGTCAGGAGTTCGAAACAGCCTGAGCAAGAGCGAGACCCCGTCTCTACTAAAAAAATAGAAAGAAATTAATTGGCCAACTAAACAATATAGAAAAAAATTAGCTGGGCATGTGGGCGCATGCCTGTAGTCCAGCTACTTGGAGGCTGAGGCAGTAGGATTGCTTGAGCCCAGGAGTTTGAGGTTGCTGTGAGCTAGGCTGACGCCACAGCACTCTAGCCCAGGCAACAGAGAGAGATTCTGTCTCAAAAAAAAAGAATAAAATAATCATTAAATTTTATTTCCAAAGAGCCCTGTGAAGTAAATGGAAATATACTAATATTTCCATTTTACATATCAAGGAACTTAGGCTCAATAACCTCAAAATCACACAGTCAGGGTGGTGCCTGGCTCTCAAATCTCAAGCCCTTGACTCCAGCTAGACACTGGGAATGGGGCAGAGAAGAATACAAAGTGGCCCAGCATTGTTCTCTCTCTGAATGGACCAAACAAGAGAGTGACGTTCCCTTCTGGGGAAATAAGACACTGTTCTTTGTGGAGTAAGTGGATCCAAGAGAAGGAGATTCCCCAAGATTTTCCAAAAGGCCTTAAACAAAGGTTCAAAAGAAGGAGTACTTTAACAAATTAATTCATTATGTAACTAAGAAAACTCCACAGCAATCAGAGAATGGAGCTAGGAGCAGGAACTCAAGAGTGAGCGCAAACGCTGTCACCCTTGCTCTCTGCTAGCCTCCATCCCACCCCACATCCTGATGTTCAGCCTGCTCTCTCAGGACCCTGCAAACAGAAATACTCAAGTCCCTTCCCCTACGTAGGACCTGGTTGAGTTCCATGACCTGTAAGATAGCTGCCAACATCAAAATGCTCTTATTGCCCAGAAAAGGAATGGGCTTTTTCTTTCTTTCTTTTGTAATTCCACTTATCTTATTTGTTCTTCAACATGTGTATGCACAGTTTCCTGTGCTGACCCCTCCTTTCCTGCCCTCAGCCTGTTGGAATGCCTCTCACTCTTCTCTCCAGCCACCCACATTTTACTCTTCCCTCCAGAGCAACTCAAATGTCCCTTCATCTGTGCCTCCTGCTCCTTTAGCTTGCAACTTCTTTCAAAAATATTCTGTGTATTTTCTCTCTGACTCCCTGGAGTACAGGGGAAGTTTTGTGTTTGTCACCTCCCTTGTTCTGCCCTTGTGCCTGATAGCTTGCTGGACTCCAGCCAGATGCTCTGGTGCTGTCACCAGTTAATGAGGACAGGGACCATGCCTCTCCTATCCACTGCCATAGCCCAGCACCAGCAGAGGGGTGGCTCATGGTAGTGTTCAATCAAAATGTGTTTGATTTGACAGTCACAAAACATTGCTTGTGAATCTAGACACCTAACTTCTCACTTCCTGCTTCCTTTAGAGCCCTGTTAGTACAAGTCCCCTGGGCTGGAAAGCTCATGGCTGGGAAGTCCTGCTATATTATTCACAGCTAGACCCCAATATTGTTTCAAGCTGGTCTAGTACTCACAGCCAGGCCATTTTGTTCTCCTGTTGGATAGACACCTTCTCAAGGAATAACAACATCAGACAAGGTTACTCTGACATCATGATAAAATGAAACAAAACAAGGCCACCTCATAGTTTTGTCTAAGCACAGACAAAAGATCAGTAAGCCACCACAAAATACCCCATCAAAGAATTGCTGTGCTCTCCTGCTTCCTTAGATCCACTCCCAAATCATCTAACCTCAGCCTAAATCCTGTAATAGGATCTTTCTAACATCCTCTTACTGAGACACTTTGCTGCAACAAGTATTAATAATAAAGCCAACTTATTTCACTACAAGTTTGTTCCTGCTGGTCTCTGGACGAAATGTGTTGATAACTGTAGGCAGCCATTTCACTTTCATCAATACAGACATCTTAGGGGTATGTATTTTTATTACCAATTTATACCCAGGGAAACTCTGGCTGAAAGAGATCAAATGATTTAGCTGAAATCATATAAAGGGACTTCTAGATGTACCCCTGGTCACCTAATAATGTAAGCGTCAGTCAACCACATGTCTGCAATATTATTCTGTATACCTTTTTGTATGTATACAAGGTATTTTACAAAAATTTAAGTAAGTACAATGAACTGAAAACAAAGTCCCCAAAAGATGCAGGTGGTACCTAGGTGGGCAGATGCCTCAGACCTTTTCCAACTCCCAGATGAACAGATGGAACAAGCAACAAGCAGGAGCCAGACTACAACAGGGTGCAAAATTTAAGAACACCAAAAACTCTGGCTAATCAAGGTTAATTAACATTAATCTAAACATTTCAAGGCAATTAATATTTAAATCAATTCCACATGCTAATTATATTTAAGGCAATTTTTTAAAATAGCAAATCAGCAAACTAGGGCCCAAAGCTGGCGCCTACTTTGTAAATAAAGTTTCACTGTAAGCTCCAATAAGTATCTGTCCACTCAAAAAACAAACTCCAGCATCCGCATTGCGAAGTGGCATTGTGGGTGTCCATCGCTAGAAGACACTAAAAAAAAAAAAAGGCTGAGAGATGAACGGGAGATCATTTCGCCGCAGGCTGCCCGGGGTCCCGGAGACCCGGCAAAAAGCCGACGGAAAGAACCCTGCAACCCCAGCCGTGCCGCCCCTCTCCCAGCAGCCGCGTTGTACCCGGCTAAAGGGGTCCTGCCGCTTTAAATCCGGGCGGCTGGCGAACCCTGGGCGGGCCGTTGCCCGGGGAGACGGACGCGCAAGAGCGGCGCACGCCACGCCTGCAGCTCCGGGCCGGTCGCGGCTGCCTGGGCGCCCGCCCGGATCCTGCCGCTTCCCGCCAGCCATGGCCGACTCGCCCTCGCGCCGCAGCTCCAGAGAGCCTCAGGGGAAAGAGGAGAGCCGGAAGGAGTTGGAGGAAGGGTTAGAGATGGAGGAGGAGGAGGAGGAGGAAGAGGAGGAGGAGGAGGAGGAAGAGGTTGAGGAAGAGAAAAACGAGGAGGTGGCGGTGGAAGAGTCTGAGGTGGCGGTGGAAGAGTCTGAGGTGGCGGTGGAAGAGTCTGAGGTGGCGGTGGAAGAGTCGGAGATGGCGGTGGAAGAGTCGGAGATGGCGGTGGAAGAGTCGGAGATGGCGGTGGAAGAGTCGGAGATGGCGGTGGAAGAGTCTGAGGTGGCGGTGGAAGAGTATGAGGTGGCGGTGGAAGAGTCGGAGATGCCGATTGACCCCGAGTCGTTTTATGAGTACTTCTGGAAGGTCATGGACCTGGGCGGCAGCAATGAGAACCAGTTGGTAGGGTTCCGACCCCGCTTAGCCAGCGTCGTCAGCCCCAGCCTGTCCCCGACGCCGCCGATGTCCAGCGAGACCGAGAGCCTGACCATCACCCTGACGCCGAGCACCAAGACGCCGCCGAGCACCCAGACGCTCAGCACCCTGACCCAGACCGTGGGGGAGAGCCCGCTCTCGAGCACCGCCTCCCAAAAAAGTACCGCCCCCGGGCCCACCTCTTCTCCCAGGGCTTGTCTGTCCCTAGGGGGCAGCTGGTCTCCCCGCTCCCGAGCCCTCGTGCACCTGGGTGTCTGGTTTCTATACGCACGCACCGCCCCACACACCCGCAGTCTGTGTCAGTCTCTCCTGTCAAAGGCACTGGACTCTTGGCTGAGCTGTTGTGATGCTTCCCACTTTAGGATATAGGTGAAACCCTTAGTAAAAGGTGAACCTTGGGCAGTGCTGTGTGGACTGTAACGGGTTTTGTGTTTGCTTTTTGTGGACAGGGTCTCATTCTGTTGCCCTGGGTAGAGTGCTGCGCTCAAGCAATCCTCCCGCCTCTGCCTCCCAGAGTTCTAGGATTAGAGGCGCGAGCCACCGCGCCTGGCCGAGTGTTCATTTTTATAACACTCCTGCGGGCATTCATGGCGATGTTCTCTCTCCTGTCTCTCTCACATACACACACATGCACACACGCACTTGTTACTCCTAGAGAAAAAGTATCCGAAGGGTGCTATGTTACTAAACTCCCTTGTGTGTGTTTAACTTTCTGTGCTGAAACCACGCCAACCAATCACTTCATTTAAAAGACAGGCAAGAGCAGTTATTTAGAGAAGGTTTCTCAAGCTTTCAGCATTTACATTTTGGTCTGGATAATTCTTTGTTGGGGGGACTGTCCTGTGCATTATAGCACGATTAGCAGCATCCCTGCCCCCTGTCTCTGGCTGTGTTAGTAGCACACACCCTTGTGATGATAAAAAATGTCTCCAGTCATTGCTAGTTGTCCCTGGGCAGCAAAATTGCCCTTTTGAGAACCAATGGTATAGAGAGAGCGGCTTATTTTTAAATGTTTCATTCAACAGGTTTTCCTAAAATATTTCAGACATTTAGGCAAGACATGTCTGAAGTAAATTTAGATAGGTAAGAAAATGTTTTTGATTTTCATATTATTTTTTTGAAGTTGATAATGTTTGCCTTTTGGATAAACATGTTAGAAAGTAAAGCAAAATAATCTAGGACATTTACAACTTATCTATTCAAAGAGTTTTTTAAAAAATCTATGCTGGTAGATGCTTTGGAAGAGATGAAGACAAGTTCTCTGCCTATCTCTAGCTTATTCTAGCTGTAGAAATGACGTGCCCACTTATCAATGTTATATAAAAAATAATACATACATGCCATGTGTACAATAGTAAGTGCTATGAAAGTTTAGAATATAGGCCTCTGCTGGCTAAATGCAAGAGTGACCAAGTATACCTTTGTGGAAGAGAATGGAAGTTCTGGCCTTTTTTTCCTCTCTTCTTTTTCTTGTTATTGCTATTAGCCTTCAAATGCTTTAATTATAAAAGGAAGATACCAGAGAAATATCTTTTGGAACAACGTTGTAAATCTTCCCTGAAATCTCACATCAAACCTGAATCCACAATCTTTTTTTCTTTTTTTTGAGACAAGAGTCTCCCTCTGTTGCACAGACTAGACTAGAGTGCCATGGCGTCATCATAGCTCACAGCAAATTCAAACTCCTGGGCTCAAGTGATCCTCCTGCCTCAGCCTCCCAAGTAGCTGGGACTACAGGCATGCACCACCATGCCTGGCTATATATATATATATATATATATATATATATATACACACACACACATATATATATTTAGTTGGCCAATTAATTTATTTCTATTTTAGTAGAGATGGGGTCTCACTCTTGCTCAGGCTTGTCTCAAACTCCTGAGCTCAAATGATCTGCCCACCTCGGCCTCCCAGAGTGCTAGGATTACAGGTGTGAGTCACCATGCCCAGCCTGAAATTCTTAAGTATAAAGAAAATTGTTCTGTCCCATTTACATGTTTTTATTTATCCTTTTAATTCAACTTTTTAATAAAAAAATATGCACATGTTAATAAATAAAGTATACAAAGGTATAAAATTGAAACTGTCCATGTCCTTCTCCACCTTTACTCCCACTCACCAGAGTTAACATATAGTTAATAGTTTCAATTTTGTTCCCATTATAAATTTAAATAACATTTTCACTTCTTGATTTATCAATTTCTGACATAACTATTGACTTTCCACCTTTCCATTTTGGTAGTTGTATTATTTTTAGTTTTTCTAACATTTAGTACTTAAAAGTATTCAAACCTCTACTTTTGATTTATTAATTTTAGTAAGTATCAATTGACTGTATTATGAAAAAGTAACACATTAATGTACTTGTGCTTTCTTCCATCTTTCCTCTCGCTTCTGTCCCAATTAACAGAATTTATATACATTATATAACAAACTATATGAAAATATACATATTCACAAAAAGTTATATTACTTTGCCAAATTTTAGTATGTTTGTACTATGGTTTGTTATTTATAATTAAAGTGCTTTGGGTACAGGTTGTTTCTAAAAACCAAAAACTGATAAATAATACAATTCCATGTTAAAAAACCAGTAATGTGATTGGATCCATGGACAAGAAAATGTAATCCTATGTCCATAAAACTTGTCTCCTAAAAAGTGAACTTTTCAACTCTCAGTTGTTTTTAGTTGTCTCCAATTTTTCTGGGTTGGACCCAATGGTCAGGCTTTCTTGATTCCTGTATTGCCTTCTTTCTTTTATTCCTTTTCCTTTTTCTAGAAAAACTCCTAAGGTAGTTTTTGCACATAGGTCTCATGGATAGTCAAATTTCTGAGTTTTTGCCTGCCTAGAAATTTCTTCATTTTGTCCTCATATTTTATTTATTAATAATGTAACCTGGCATAAAAGAATAGATTAAAACCATTTTCCCTCAGAGCTCTGAAGACATTGCTTCATTGCCTCGTAGTATCCAGCACTGCTGATAGGTCTGATTCTCATATCCTTCTGGTATTTGGTTATTTCCTCTTCTTCATTGATTGGGTCTATTCTTTTCTTCAGAACTCCTCCTAGAGGTTATTGGACCTCTTAGATAGATTCCCCAACTTTCACAACTTTTCCTTCAAATTTTCAGTATCTTTAAGGTTTCTGATATTAGCATGCTACTATACAGCCCTTGTACAGAAGTTTTTATTTGGGGAATTCATATTTATAATTTCCCAGAACCAGTTCTTGTTTTCTGATTGTTGCTGTTCAAAATAAATATTTTTTTTATTTTTATCTCTTTGAGAGTACTATTACAGTATTTTTTAAATTTTTTTTGAGACAAGAGTCTCACTCTGTTGCCCTGGCTAGAGTGCCATGGCGTCAGCCTAGCTCACAGCACCCTCAAACTCCTGGGTTCAGGTGATCCTCCTGCCTCAGCATCCCGAGTAGGTGGGACTACAGGTATGCGCCACCATGCCTGGCTAATTTTTTCTGTATATTTTTAGTTGGCCAATTAATTTCTTTGTATTTTTAGTAGAGACAGGGTATCACTCTTGCTTAGGCTGGTTTCAAACTCCTGACCTTGAGCAATCCACCTGCCTCCTAGAGTGCTAGGACTACAGGTGTGAGCCACCGCATCCAGCCACTATTACAGTATGTTAAAGATCTCTTTTGTTCTTTGTATTCCTTTTTTCTTTCAGGGTCAGTCATTCTGTTTATATCTCTTTCTCTTCTATGCTATTGATTGTCCTTCAGTGACTGGTAATCCTTGGTTACCCATTTATATTTATAAATGGATGATGGGAAGGTAGCTTGAATGGAATCTTCCATAGGGTTTGCATGGGAGGCTTTACTATGATCCCTCTGCAGGTGGGTGGGGAGTATCAGAGCCCACTTCCTGCAGTGTCTGGGCAGGGAGCAGTCAAGCCGGGTAACCCACTCTTACTAGAGGTAAGGCAAGGACACTTTACTGTATCGTTGGAGTTCTTTATGGAAGGAATGTCACTTCCTCCTTTCTCAACCAAGCCTGTTGGGAAAGTCCTGAGTAAACTCACACTCTGCTCTACTTCCCTTTCAGGGCTAAAATCTCCCCTAGCACGTCGCCCACTTTTTTTAGAAGGCAATTCTTTGGACTTCATTTGGAAATAAAAACAACTGCTGCCAACTGCTCTGTGTAAGGGGAGAGGAAGGGGTCTGCCTGACCAGCTGTCAAAATTCACTCCTTGAACTACCCTGATGACAGCCCCCAGATCTCTTCTCGCTCTCTGTTTGGTTGGTCCAGCTAGAAGCTTCTCAGGATTCCCTTTGGAAGAACCTTACCTCTCTCTGCTCTGGCTTTACATCAACCTCTAACCATTTTCCTCTTTTCTTTTAGTATGACTTGTCTGTTAACCTTTCTTTTTTCCAGAACTAGTTTCTGTTTGTTTGTTTGTTTAAAGTGTCTGTTATTTCAGTAAGAACTTGGAAAGGAAGGGAAGGAAAATTGTGTACTGAGCTGCCATCTTGACCTGAATTCCTATTGTATGATTTTAAATCCGTGGGAGCCTCTCTTTCCTAGATCAAATTCTTAAACTTCCCTCATAAATCTTCCCTAAAAGATGCTTTTTATATTTCAAAGCAGTCTCTGGTAAATTTGATGAGATTATGAGTGTTGTTTTTTTAAAAAGTCCTAAAATTTCACAAAAAATGCAACCCATTTTGGCTCAACTTCTATTTTTAATTGCCTTATTACTATTCCTATTGAAAATGGGGCAAACTTTAGGAAGCAGATGAATGTGGAAAAACACAGGTTTTAGAGCCAGACAGGAATCCTTGTGGTTCCCTAACCTTCATAAGCCTCAGTTTCCTTAACTGTAAAAATGAAATGCTAATACCTGCCTTGATTATTTTTTGTAAAGATAAGTGAAATAATGTAAGTAAAGCAACTACTATATATGTACTACTATATAGTAAGTTCTCAGTTAATTTTAATTTTGTCATTGTCTTCCATCTTTCCTATTTATACAGATGTTCATAAGTAATCTTTGGTGTTGGTTTAAGGAAGGCAAAGGACCTAAATGAATAACATATTGTTTTTGTTAACCATTGAATTGGGGGTGGGGGAACAATTAAAGGTGACCTAGGGATTTCTCCTTAATGATCCTTTGCTCATAGTCTAACTTGTTTCTCCGGGAGGTTAGATAAATAGGGCTCCCTAAGAGACCTGCACAGGTGTCCTCCACAGGGGAGTTCCTCACCTATTACAGGACACAGTCATTTCAGAATTACAAAAACAAAAGCACTTCACTGATGCAACGTGCCAAGGAATAACGCATCAAAAAGGAAGATGGAGATGTAAGAGAACCAAGAAAGATGGAAAAGTGACAATCCAAAAGTTAACTAAATTGTTTGAAAAAATATTGTCTGGTAATTTTGGAAGATCCAGCACATTATATTTAAAACATTGAAATTCAAAGAGACCGAGGAGCTTGAAAAGTAATATTGTTTAATTGTTACTAGTAAGCATTTTAACTAGTACTAGTAAAGGTCAATAAATTCCTGCCTTGCTATCACATCAGTGATAAATAACTGGTTAAACTGCACTGAAAAAATACAGACTATTTAATGACAATGCATTTAACATCAGCCCTTTAAAAAGAGTTTAGATTATTTTTAAACTATTGAAAATGAACAATTTATTCTAATTTAAATTCAAGTAAATGTTTAAATGCATACACCAATACCACCATCACAAATGTACAGATATAGTGGTAGTAATTTACTCCCTGAGGGAGATAATATGGTATTGGAAGCCACTGGGATTTAGAAAGGAATTCTTTCCAAAGAACAGGTTTGATGCAAATACACTCTGCCTAAATTTACTGAAGAGTTAAGAATGAAAGAAAATATTTCAAAGAAAATAGAATCAAGATTTTCTATGTGTTAATATATTTATTTGTTAAATGTACTATATTTAGAAGATCTGCTAATGACTATATTGGTATACTCTCAAAACTAACATTTTGTCTAAATTTCAGAAGTATCTATCACGGTTTGTATCCAGGAATTCCAATATCAGTACAAACAGAAGAAAGTTGGCTTCAACAACTGTCTGGTAACAAGTATACAAGTGAGCCAAGTGAGTAGTTCGATTTCTTAGCTTTGCTGGGAGGTGGGATTGCCTGTTGGCAATATCACAGGTGTTCAAGGTCAAGAGAGTTAGGTTTGAATCCCAGCCTCAACACAAACTAACAGTGTGATGTTGGGCAAGTTACTTAAATCTCACTGAGTCTCAGTTTCTTCATCTCTTGGTAATAATCGTACTGTCACAGGATCGTTATAAAGATCAAAATGAGATTAAATATTTAAACTCCTTGTCATTTAGTATTCAATAAATGGTAGCATTTATGTTCACATCAAGAAATAATCTGGGCCAAGCACAGTGGCTCACACCTGTAATCCTAGCACTCTGGGAGGCCGAGGCAGGCAGATTGCTCAAGGTCAGGAGTTCTAAACCAGCCTCAGCAAGAGTAAGACCCTGCCTCCACTATAAATAGAAACAAATTAATTGGCCAACTAATATATATAGAAAAAATTAGCCGGGCATGGTGGTGCATGCCTGTAGTCCCAGCTACTCGGGAGGCTGAGGCAGGAGGATTGCTTGAGACCAGGAGTTTGAGGTTGCTGTGAGCTAGGCTGACGCCAGGGCACTCACTCTAGCCTGGGCAACAAAGCAAGACTCTGTCTCAAAAAAAAAAAAAAAGAAAGAATCTGACATTATATTTTTGATACACATCTTTATGTTTTATTATGGAAATAACATATGCACACTGTTTTTAAAATGTCAAACCATTAAGAGGTAGATAATGTAAAACTTTTTTAAAAATGTTTTAATACCTTGGATATGCTAAAAATATTAAAATTTTAACTTATCCTAGTATAGTGCCTTTCAGCATTTTTTTTTGAGACAGGTTCTCACTCTGTAACCTAGGCTAGATTACAGTGGCACAATCAGCTCACTGCAGCCTCGCGGACTCCTGAGCTCAAGGATCCTCCTGCCTCAGCCTCCTGACTAACTGGGCTACAGGTGCTCACCACCATGCCCAGTTATTTTTTTACTTTTTGTAGAGACAGAGTCCACTGTGTTACCCATGCTGGTTGCAAACTCCTGGCTCCAGCAATCCTTCTGCCTCTGTCTTCTAAGGTCCTGGGATTACAGGCATAAGCCACCATGCCCAGCTCCTTTTCAAATTTTATATTCAAGTTTTATGTCATGTCACTTATTCATCAAACACTTACTGAGCACCTACCATTTGCCAAACAACTGTCATAGGCCAAGCCCTGTTCTAGGGAACCTGCAGTGAAAAAAACCAATGTCTTAATGATATTAACAGTGGGAGGTGGAGGTGATGGTGAGATAAATAATACACAAAATAAGTAAATATATACTACATTAAATGATGTAAGTGCTGAGGAGCAAAGTAAAGCAGGGAAGAGGATGGGCAGTGTGAGGGTGGGAGGGCTGCCAGCTTACACAGGGTGTCACTGAGAAATCATCACTGGGAACTGAGACATTTGAGCAAAGACCTGAAGGAAGTGAGGGAATGAGCCATAGTGATCTCAAGGCAAGAGTGTTCCAGGCAAAGGAAACAGCAACTGCCTCCTTCTAGAACATAAGAGGCCACTGTGGCTGCAGTGGAATAAGCAAGAGGAGAATCCTAGGGGATGAGGTCGAAGAGATAATGAGAAGCAAATCTTTCTCACTGGGAGTGAAATGGGAAGTCACCGGAGGATTTGTGCAGAAGAGTAACGCAATCCACCTTGTATTTTAATGACTGCTGGCTGCTGAGAAAAGTTGGCAAAGGGGAAAGGGCCCAAGGATTGAGCCCTGCAGTTCTTCACTGTTAAGTTGGGGACATGAGGAGGAGACTGAGGAAAAGCATCCAATGATATAGAAAGAAAACCAGGCAAGTGTCCTTTCAGGGGTCCTCAAACTATGGCCTGCGGGCCACATGCGGCCCCCCAAGGACATTTATCCAGCCCTGCCGGGTGTTTTTGCCGACGCTGCCTGTCCTGCTTAGCAGCCGACTTGTCTGGGCCCACAGTGCGCATGTGTGGAATGTGCACTGCACTCTCTAACGGCCCTCCAACGGTCTGAGGGACAGTGAACTGGCCCCCTGTTTAAAAAGTTTGAGGACCCCTGCTGGGATGCTAAGAAAGAGTCTCAAGGAGGAGGGAGTGATCAACTGGGTCAAATGCTACTTAGAGGTCAGGAAGATGAGGGCTGAGAACTGACTGGGACATTTAGCATGTGGGGATCACTACTGATGTAGACAGGACCAGCTTCTGTGTAACTGCGGGAATGAAAGCCCAATTGGAATGGGCTCAAGGGAGAGTGAGAGACGGGAATTGAAATAAGTGTAGAATAAAAATGGAATCATACCCCTCACTCCCATTTCATTCATGGTACAATGGTGTAATGAATACATAAACATAGTCTTATTTTTCCTTCCAGCCTAGATTCTGATCTGAACATAGTCTTATTTTTGAAAAGTTAAAAAATGTAAATCAAACAATGGTTTATTTTGACTATTACCCCCAATTTCATAGGTCATCCCTATTCTCATGCTGTATCTTTCCAAATCTTTTTCTGAGCATTTACACTAATATAGAAGTATGGACTATACTTTGGCCCTTTTTGTTTGTTATTGTTTACATGAATAGTATTACACTGAATATGTTATTTTGCTTGCTTTTCACTTAACAATATGCCTTGGAAATTTTACCAGGTCAGTAAATACAGATCCTCCTCATTCTTTTTAATCGTTGCATAATAGTACATGGTATGGATGTAGAATTACTTATTAAAGATTCCCCAATGCATGCATAAAGCCATTCCCAGATTTTCACTTCCACAATGTTACAGTAAGCATCCTCCTCTTTGTATATACATCCAAGTATTCCTCTAAGACAGATGCCAAGAATGTGGCATTACTGGGTGAAAAGTTCCATATTTTGATCATCACCTTCCAAAAGAGCTGACACAATGTCTGTTTTCACCAAAGGGGTTGTTGAGACTACCTTTTTTCTACCCTTCCCAGTATTTGATCTTGTCACTCTTCTAAATTTTTGATAGTCTGGTAGGTGAAACTTATACTGTATCTTATTATTTTATTTAGTATTCCTTGATTACTAAAGAGGTTGAGCTTCTTGTTCGCAGGATTTTTTTTTTTTTTTTGGTCATTTGAATATCTTCTTTGGATTAAGCAAACAAGTGTTCACATTTTTTGCCCATTTGGGTTGTCTTTTCTTTGCTTCCTTCCTTCAGCTCTTAACATATATCATATGCTTCCTTCCTTCAGCTCTTAACATATATCTCTAATACTTCTTTGAATGTTGTATATGTTACAAAATTTACCTCCCAGTTTGTCTTTCATCTTTTACATTTGCTTGTGGTAGTTTTTTGTCATATGTAATTTTTTTTTTTTTTTTTGAGACAGACTCTCACTCTATTGCCCAGACTAGAATCCCATGGCATCAGCCTAGCTCACAGCAACCTCAAACTCCTGGGTTCAAGTGATCCTTCTGCCTCAGCCTCTCAAGTAGCTGGGACTACAGGCATGTGCCACCATGCCCGGCTAATTGTTTCTCTATATTTTTAGTTGGCCAATTAATTTATTTCTATTTTTAATAGAGACAGGGTATCGTTCTTGCTCAGGCTGGTTTCGAACTCCTGACCTTGATCAATCCACCTGCCTCCTAGAGTGCTAGGATTACAGGCATGAGCCATTATCCTGCTGGGATGCTAAGAAAGAGTCTCAAGGAGGAGGGAGTGATCAACTGGGTCAAATGCTACTTAGAGGTCAGGAAGATGAGGGCTGAGAACTGACTAGGACATTTAGCATGTGGGGATCACTGCTGATGTAGACAGGACCAGCTTCTGTGTAACTGCGGGAATGAAAGCCCAATTGGAATGGGCTCAAGGGAGAGTGAGAGACGGGAATTGAAATAAGTGTAGAATAAAAATGGAATCATACCCCTCACTCCCATTTCATTCATGGTACAATGGTGTAATGAATACATAAACATAGTCTTATTTTTCCTTCCAGCCTAGATTCTGATCTGAACATAGTCTTATTTTTGAAAAGTTAAAAAATGTAAATCAAACAATGGTTTATTTTGACTATTACCCCCAATTTCATAGGTCATCCCTATTCTCATGCTGTATCTTTCCAAATCTTTTTCTGAGCATTTACACTAATATAGAAGTATGGACTATACTTTGGCCCTTTTTGTTTGTTATTGTTTACATGAATAGTATTACACTGAATATGTTATTTTGCTTGCTTTTCACTTAACAATATGCCTTGGAAATTTTACCAGGTCAGTAAATACAGATCCTCCTCATTCTTTTTAATCGTTGCATAATAGTACATGGTATGGATGTAGAATTACTTATTAAAGATTCCCCAATGCATGCATAAAGCCATTCCCAGATTTTCACTTCCACAATGTTACAGTAAGCATCCTCCTCTTTGTATATACATCCAAGTATTCCTCTAAGACAGATGCCAAGAATGTGGCATTACTGGGTGAAAAGTTCCATATTTTGATCATCACCTTCCAAAAGAGCTGACACAATGTCTGTTTTCACCAAAGGGGTTGTTGAGACTACCTTTTTTCTACCCTTCCCAGTATTTGATCTTGTCACTCTTCTAAATTTTTGATAGTCTGGTAGGTGAAACTTATACTGTATCTTATTATTTTATTTAGTATTCCTTGATTACTAAAGAGGTTGAGCTTCTTGTTCGCAGGATTTTTTTTTTTTTTTTGGTCATTTGAATATCTTCTTTGGATTAAGCAAACAAGTGTTCACATTTTTTGCCCATTTGGGTTGTCTTTTCTTTGCTTCCTTCCTTCAGCTCTTAACATATATCATATGCTTCCTTCCTTCAGCTCTTAACATATATCTCTAATACTTCTTTGAATGTTGTATATGTTACAAAATTTACCTCCCAGTTTGTCTTTCATCTTTTACATTTGCTTGTGGTAGTTTTTTGTCATATGTAATTTTTTTTTTTTTTTTTGAGACAGACTCTCACTCTATTGCCCAGACTAGAATCCCATGGCATCAGCCTAGCTCACAGCAACCTCAAACTCCTGGGTTCAAGTGATCCTTCTGCCTTAGCCTCCCAAGTAGCTGGGACTACAGGCATGTGCCACCATGCCCGGCTAATTGTTTCTCTATATTTTTAGTTGGCCAATTAATTTATTTCTATTTTTAATAGAGACAGGGTATCGTTCTTGCTCAGGCTGGTTTCGAACTCCTGACCTTGATCAATCCACCTGCCTCCTAGAGTGCTAGGATTACAGGCATGAGCCATTACGCCTGGCCTGTCATATGTAATTTTAAATTTTGATGTAAATAAATATTTTCCTTGTGATTCTTATATTTTGTGGTTTAAGAATCCCATCCCCAAATCAAGATTATAAGCATGTTTTCCTATATTTTCTTCTAAAACTTATAATATTTTATTATTTACTTTTAGCACCTTAATCAACATGGACTTCATTTTTGTGAATGGCTTGGCATTTTCCTATATCAATATCGCATTGTCTTAATTTCTATAGCTTTCCATATTTAATATATGATAAAACAATTTCTGCCTTCCTTATTCTTTTTCTTTTTCTTTTTTTTTTTAACATTTGACAGTCAGGTCACATCCTTATTCTTTTTCAACATATTATTCCTAGTTCTTTTTGGGCATTTGTTCTTCCAAAAGTATTTTGGAATCATTTTGTCAAATTCCATTGGAAAATTCCATCAGAATTACATTGACTATATAGATTAATTTGGGAATAGTTGTCATCTTTTTAATATTAAGTATTGCTTTTCAGGAATCTAGAGTACATCTCCATTTTTTTGAGGAAAATTGAAATCCTTTTTCTATTATATTTTCTAATTGGTTATTGTCAATTTCAGAGCCTCTTTCCTTTGCCTCTGTCCCATTGTAAGTTGCTCTGATTAGTTTTTCACCATTCTAATCCTATCTGCTCTCAATCTTCTAGACATTTACTGGAAGGTGCTGGTACACTGATGCCTCCTTCCCTATTTCCATGCTGCTCTGGAATTTACAGAGGGAGTAATCCTGGTGCTTTAGTTCACTGTCTTGAACTAGAACTACCAGCACCCTCCTACCTGAAAAATCTCACACAGATTTTTCTACAGACATAATGTAGACAGATGGTACTTAAAAGAAGCAGAAAACAAAGAGTATGCAAAGCGTAAACACAACCAGTTAAAATATTTAGCCATGTAGTATAGTAATACCCCCTTGTCTACAGTTTTGCCTTTTGCAGGTTCATTTACCAGCATTTGACTGCAGTCAAACATATTAAATGGAAAATTCCAGAAATAAACAATTGCTAAGTTTTCAATTACACACCATTCTGAGTAGAGTGATGAAATATTTTGTCATCCCTCTCTCTCCTGGGCTGTGAGTCATCCTCTTGTAGACAGCCACGCTGTCTACAGTGCCCACACATTAGCCACTTAGTAGCTGTCTGGGTTATCAGATCAACTGTCATGCTTGTGTTCAGTGAACCTTTATTTTATTCAATAATGGCCCCAAAGCGCAAGAATGTGAGGCTGGCAATTCAGATATGCCAAAGAGAAGGTATAAAGAGATTTCTTTAAGTGAAAAAGTGCAGGTTCTCAACTTAATAAGGAAAGAAAAAAATTTGTATGCTGTGTTTGCTAAGATGTATGGTAAGAATCTTCTACCTATAAAATTGTGAAAAAGGAAAAAAATTCACACATAGTATATATAGGGTTCAGTACTACCTGTAGTTTCAGGCATCCACTAGGGGTCTTGAACATAACCCCCACAGATAAGGGGGGACTATATTATATTGTAGGACTAGAAAGGTACATGGTAATATTTGTAAATGTGATACATAAAGTGGTGAGTTTTTTCCATGTATTCCTTGTTGATGAAATGTTATTTGGAAAAAGGCAAAAAAATAAAAGAATAATTAAATTAAATTTATTTCATAATTAAAATTAAAAGATAAGCACAGTAAAGGTACTTATTTTTCCAAGAAATAAGTTGCTACCAAAATCCACATTGCTACAAGGGGGTTCTCCCCTAGGTCCAGTTACTCACTGCACAGAATGCCAATTACTGAGACAAGGATTGCCAAAGAAGAAAGGAATTTTTCTTTTTTTCTGAGACAGAGTCTCACTTTGTTGCCCAGGCTAGAGTGAGTGCCATGGTGTCAGACTAGCTCACAGCAACCTCAAACTCCTGGGCTCAAGCGATCCTCCTGCCTCAGCCTCCCGAGTAGCTGGGACTACAGGCATGTGCCAACCATGCCCGGCTAATTTTTTCTCTATATTTTTAGTTGGCCAATTAATTTATTTCTATTTATAGTAGAGATGGGGTCTCACTCTTGCTCAGGCTGGTTTAGAACTCCTGACCTTGAGCAATCTGCCCACCTCAGCCTCCCAGAGTGCTAGGATTACAGGCATGAGCCACCGCGCCTGGCCAAGAAAGGAATTTTTAATACAGATGATGTTATTCTCAAATCTGTCTCCCCGACTAATGAAGAGTAAGGGCTTTTATAAGCAGTTAAGGAATGTGTACAAATAGGGAGGAATGGTGAGTCTTGGTGTAACTCCTTCCAGCAACAGCTCATAAGTCCAGAGTTCAAAGTCTCACCTGAGATATAAGGCAAGTTCCCACCATGAGCCCAAAATGAGTTATTTATTTCCAAGCTACAATGTTGGTACAGGCATTGGGTAAATATTTCCATTCCAAAAGGGAGAAATCAGCCCAAAGAAAGGCACTCCATGTCCTGCAATCTAGGCACACTGGTGCAAGGAGTGGGCCCCTGGAGCCTCAGGCAGCCCTGCCCCCATGGCTTTGCCGGGCACCCCCCACGCGGCTGCTCTCAAGGATTGGAGTCCGGTGCCTGGGGCTTTGCCAGGCTGAGCGTGTACACTGCCGGTGGATCCACTGTTCTGGGGTCTGGAGGGCAGTGGAGTCCTTCCCACAGCTCCACTAGGCAGTGACCTGGTGGGGACTCTGTGTGGGGGTTCCAACCCATTTCCTCTCAGCACCACCCTAGTAGAGTCTTTCTGTGGGGGCTTCACCCCTGTGGCGGGCCTCTCCCTGGGAACCCAGGGAGAGATTTAGATTTCCCATGAAATCTAGATGGAAGCCATCAAGCCTCCACCACTTCCACATTCTACGTGCCTGCAGACTTCGCACCACATGGACACCACCAAGGCTTATGGCTTACATCCTCCAGAGCAGCCACCTGAGCTACACCTGGGGCCTTTTGAGCCGTAGCTGGAACCAGAGCAGTAGGGAAGGAGGCAACAGCCTCCCAAGGCTGCACAAGATGGTGGCAGCCCAGGTTCCCCAAACCATTCAGTCCTCCTAGGCCTCTGGGCCTACAATGGGAGGGGCAGCCTGGCCTCATTTGCACCTCATCAGCCTGGCCTTTACTGTCCATATTTCTATCAGTATTTTGGTCACAACCACTTAACCAATCTCTAAGAAGTTTCAAACGTTCCCCCATTTATCTTTTTTTGAGCCCTCCAAACTCTTCCAGCCACTGCCTGTTACCTAGTCCTAAAGCCACTTCCACATTTTCTGGTATCTTTATAGCAACACCCCACTCTTTGCTTAGTCCATTTTGCAGTGCTATAAAGGAATACCTGAAGCCTCATTATAATTTATAAAGAAAAGAGGATTATTTGGCTCACAGTTATGCAGGCTGTACAAGAAGCATGGCTCTGGCGTCTGCTTCTGGTGAGGGCTTCAGGGAGCTTCCAGTCAAAGTGGAAGGCGAAGGGGGAGCACATGTGTCACTTGTTGAGGGAAGGCACGTGAACGAGGGGCAAGGCACCACTCTCTTTTAAACAACCAGCTCTCACGTGATGTATTAGAGCGAGAACTCATTACCGCGGGGAAAGCCTTTCATGAGGGATCCACCTCCATGAAACAAACACCTCCCATCAGGCCCCGCGTTCAACACTGGAGATGGCATTTCTACATGAGATTTAGAGGGGACAAGCATCCAAACCATATCATTCTGCCCCTGGCCCCGCAAATATCATGTCCTTCTCACATTGCAAACTACAAACATCCCTTCCCAACAGTCTCCAAAAGTCTTAACTCCTTTATCTTGCAGAAATTCCACCATTTCTGGGAAATAACTCAAAAGGTCAAGTAGTTAGTTAAAAGTTACAGGGTTCTGGTCGTCAAGTCTTACTGGCCTGGGAAACCAAAGCATAAAAAAGCTTCAGAGAAAATATGTTTGGAGGTTCATCCGCATTTGTTCATGGGGCCAGTTACAATATTTTCTTTTACATTCAGCTTCTTTTCTACTTTGCCAGATTGATGACAAATGCACACTCTTTTTGCAGAGCTAAAAAGAACCCCTGCAAAGAAGAAAGTTGAACGTCAAAGTCTAGCATCTAAGTTAAGAGGTAAGTAGAGGTTCGACACCATCCCCTTTGGATGGCAAAGGCAAACTACCAGTAGAGAACCAACTATAACTCGTGCAGTGCCCACTTCCTTTCGGAAAGCAGTCCCCTAAGAATATGGGCAGGAATGTGGTGAAAATGTCGGGTCGGGGCCATTATTAATGGATAGCACATGTGTTATGGGCTGGGAGGATGGGGTCAGGAGAGAACCTCTACCTAAAGAAAGTGGAATGCACTGCACAAAGTTTTCTTTCCTTCTAAATCTACCCTTTCTCTTCAGAAAAATGGATAATTAATCCAGAAGAGCCAAAACTAAGTATTTTATATGAGCTGGAGGTAAGAAATGTTTGTCATACCAAATAGTACACTGTTCCGATGGTAAAAATAGCTAATTGAGTCTTCAACTTTCTCTCTCTTTTTAAAAATTTAGTTTAAGGAAGACTTCATAACGCTATTTGAGCCTTCTCTAAGAACATTGCCCAGCATTGGGCCACCAGCCATTCTGGCCTACAAAGAAGAGAGTTCCAATTTAGACATTACCTTCAAGGTGATTTTAATTTATATTTTTATTATTACTGTAAAAAATAACATAAAAGCCACATAATGATTTGTACAATAGACAGTGAATATACCTTAAAAGAAAAAAAAAAAAAGCCAAAGAGCTCGATTACTTAGAACAGCACTTAGGGTGGCTGTGCTAGTTCTTAGCTGCTATAACAAATCACCACGAACCAGGCAGCTTAAAACAACAGAAAGCTATTGTTTCATAGTTCTGAAGGCTAGAAGTTTGCAATCATGTATTGACAAGGCCAATCTGGAGGGAAGACTCCTTCCTTAACTCTTCCTGGCTTTTGGTGGTGGGCAGCAGTCCTTGGCATTCCCTGGCTTGCAGCTGCATCGCTCCAGTCTCTGCCTTGCCTGCCGCGGCATTCTCTCTACCCCTCTGTGTCCAAATGGCCCTCTTTTCTAAGGAGGATTTTCGAAGTCATATTGGATTAGGGCCCACTCTAATGACATCATCTTGACCTGATTACGAGTTTCTAAATAAAGTCCACATTCATGTGTACCAGGAGTTAGGACTCCAACGTATCTTTTCCAGGGACAAAATTCAACCTGTAACAATAGCTACAAAGCCTGGAAACACAGGAGAATGTATGCCATGTTTGATCGTGTTAAGTGACCAATTAATGCAGGTCACCTCAGTAATTCCAATGGGGTGGTGAGCCACCCCACTACACCAGGGTCGTGGAATGATTATTTTCAAACCTGGATTGGATGCCGTGGCTATGTGGAGAGAACTGCCTCTTGCCCTGTTCCTGCTCTGAACTCCCCCCCCCCCTTTTTTTTTTTTTTTTTTTGAGACAGAGTCTCACTCTGTTGCCCAGGCTAGAGTGCCGTGGCGTCAGCCTATCTCACAGCAAACTCAAACTCCTGGGCTCAAGCAATCCTTCTGCCTCAGCCTCCCGAGTAGCTGGGACTACAGGCATGCGCCACATGCCCAGCTAACTTTTTTTACTATATACATGAGTTGGACAATTAATTTCTTTCTATTTATAGTAGAGACAGGGGTCTCGCTCTTGCTCAGGCTGGTTTTGAACTCCTGATCTTGAGCAATCCGCCCACCTCGGCTTCCCAGAGTGCTAGGATTACAGGTGCAAGCCACCATGCCCAGCCTGAACCCTCTTGATGACTTCTTCTGGCTATGATAAAAGAGCAGGTATATTCACCGACAATAAGAGGCACCAATCATGTGTGGCAGAGCCTCCTGGGTGCATGTGTAGGGATTGATGGATATGCTGTGTGGCTGCATTGAGGTGGTGTTCATTGCCATTTTGTACAGCACATTGAACTAAGCAATACTAATGAGGGGCAACACATTAAATATATCAGGTAATATATAAACATTTGCCGTTTATATTTACCCAGGTTTCTAAACTTTATGGTTACTCTGTAGATTCCTTAGGCTGAAATGCTTTATTTAAACTTAGTACCTTTCTTTTTCTGAACCACAAGGCTTGTATCCAGGGAAGACTTTTGATCTGGGGTTACACTCTTCCCCTGACACCCAGAGATGGGCCTGAACATGACAAGGCCTTGTGGCCTCTCCTCCAGGGATACGTCCCTGAACTGGCACCTGGACAAGGCTGTCTCCTCCTGCTCCTCAGCAAACTTTCAGGTCTAGTGTTGACACTCGTCTAGTTCAGAGCTTTCCCAGCTCTTCTCTCCAGCCACAACTTCTTCAGGTGCAGATCCCAACAACACTCATGGTCTTTCGAAGTACCTCTTGCCTCATACGCAGGTGAAAGGTGAAGGGACCATAGGCTGAGTTCACTACCAAGTCCCTTGTATAGAACAGGTCGTAGATGGCCTGGCATTGCCAAGCTCCTTTTCTACCCTGCTCCATCATTTGACAGTTGTCCTAGATTTTCCTCCATCATCTCTATTGCAAGCCTTCACTCTCCACACACCCTGCTTTCAGCACTGTGCAGCACTTACTATTGGGTAGTTTCAGTGGCCTAAACATGTTGAATGTTACTCTATGAAGGGTCAATGCCCCCTGCACTGGCCATCTTAGTCACCCTTTAGCCCCAGGCTGGGCACTTTTGCCAGTCTCAGAGGATGGTTTCCATGGCAAATACCAAAGCCCCGGTGGTGTTCATGGGGCGCGAGTCACATGATCTGGGTCTTTCCCTGGAGACTTGTGCTGAGGCTTGGCCACTCATCTGCTTAGCAGCCTGTGCAGGAAAAGACATGACCCCAGGTCACTGACATGGCCACGGTGTATCAGCTCCTCACTGAGTCACCTGAGCCCCTAACTCTGGCTCTCTCCTTTGTTTCCTCCCTCTCCTGAATCACCGTCACAGCACAGACAAAATTCAGAGCTCCAACCCAGGGATCCTCTTGAGAAGGAACTCTTGTTTAGTTCAGAAAGTAGGTAATTGTACATGGTGGCTTGCACAGTAATGTCAAGGCTTTTTCTTACCTGGCATTTCTTGAAAGAGTTAATGATATTTAAGCACCTTACACTATTTACATAGAGGCTGACCTCAGAGCCCCTGGGTCTCCTTGTGGTCAGGTCTTCATGGTATTCTCTCTCTCTCTGAAGGATGAAGAGGAAGAGATAGCACCTCAGTGTGAATTTTGTGGAGGTGATCTAAGAGCATTTTTTTCCAATGTGGACATTTGCTATGACTCTAAACCAATGGGACTTGTAAGTTCTAAAGCAGGTTTGCTGAGGAAACAGTGTTATTTTTAAAAACTGCTTTTAAACAGATGTAGTATTTTCTCCTGTATCTTTCCCCTGCTGTGCCATTCTCAAAAGCATTGCCAAGAATGTGTCTTAGATGTCAGGGAAGTGCAAATCACAGCTACAATGGGATACCACTTTACATCCACTATGTGAATGGGTATAATTAAAAAGACAGATAGTAACAAGTGTTTGCAAAGATGCAGAGAAATTAGAACCCACATACACTGCTGAGGGGGAAAATAAAATGGTGCAGTCACTTTGGAAAACAGTCTTGCAGTTCCTTGAAAAGTTAAACATACAGTTACCATATGACCCAGAAATTCCATTCCTAGGTTTATACCCAGGAAAATTCACAACATATGTCCACACAAAAACTTGCACCCAAATGTTCATAGCAGCATGATTCATAATAGCCAAAAAATGGACACAACTCAGCTGTCCATCAACTGATGAATGAATAAATAAAGTGTGGTATATCCATACAGTGAAATATTATTCACCCATAAAAAGAAATACGAAGCACTAAAACGTGGTAGAATATGGATAAGCCCTGAAAACATTATGCCAAGCGAGAGAAGCTGGTCATAAAGTACCACATGTTGTATGGTTCCATTTATATAAACTGTACAGAACACACAGATCTAGAAAGAGGGAAAGCAGATTAGTGGTTTCCAGGGGCTGGGAGGAAGGATGGGAAGTGACTGTTAATGGGTAGTGTTTCACATTCTAAAATTGATTGCAGTGATGGTTGTGCAACTATGTGAATATACTAAAAACCAATGACTTGTTCCTTTTAAGTGGGTGTATTATATGGCATGTGAATTATATCTTAATAAAGCTGTTACCAGGAAAAAAAAAGAATTATGATAAATTATCATTGAAACCCCATTAGCCATTTTTGTCCCCTCTAATCATCTTCATCTAAAACTGATGAGATGAAAATAACCTGTCTCTTTTTTAGGTCTGCTGTTGTATGTCTTTCCAAAATCTGATTGACTATGTCTGTGAGGAAGAAAAAACTATCAAAAGGTCTGAAGCTGAATTAATCAGTATTAAACCTCATGCAGCCCATGGCAGTGAAATTGATAGACTCAAGGCAAAGGAAAAAGCCCTGGAGAGGTAACACTGAGCCTTTGATAGTCAACTCTGATAGGCCAACTTAATTGGAGAGCTTTTTCTAAAATTCACCTTGTTTTTTCAAAATATATAATTTTGAAGATGTGCCCCTGTAAAGAAATGAAAATTGGCCAAAGAAAACCTATTACAATTTCTGGTGGGTATCATGAGATTCAAAAGGCCCCAGAAACTCAGTGAACTCACTGAACTCACTGATTTAAAGCAGAAATTTATCAATCCTAAATTATCAGGACAATTCAGAATTCTTATGTTGTAGAAATGTGTTCAGTAAACAGAGTAGAGACCCATGTGCTCTGAGTAAATAGGATGGATTCACAATAACATCTAAAACTGACAAGAGATGGCATTTAAGCAGTTGAAATGTATAGTATACTGTTTTAAGCTTTGACCACATTTCAGATTTATACATATTTTTGATTTTGTAGAAAACATGCCCGACAAATGGCCAAACATTTTGAAATGATGTCCTCGCATGAACCTGTTACTACTGTCTCTGAAGATGGTGAGTTTATCAATGCTGATATTATAGACCAGCTGTACAACATCAGAAAGCTCAGATATTTGTTAGAGATAAAATTAGTATATTTAAAAAATAATCGTGAAAAATTTTATTCCTTAGTAAAGCTTGCATCAGTCAAAATGACACAGAAAGCTGGTGTTTCCAGCCATTTCGCTTTTGGAGGTTTTAGTCTTCATCTCATTGTTATTACTGTGAAATAAATTAGCAACATCTATGAAGCACCTTACAGATAGCTGCAAAGAACTTTCGAGTTCATTGTCTTTTGTTTTATTAAGCACACTTTCCATTTTGTTTTCAAGCATGGATATAGAAAATCGGTCAAAAATAAATCAGATTACTTTCTTCATATATTGCTTTGTGTCAGTCAGTTGGCCAGTATAGCTGTAGTACTGGTACAGTTGAAGGAGCACTGATTTTAGAATCAGAAGTCCTGGATTTATATTGTTGCTTTTCTCCTTACAGGCTGTCTGATTTCAGGTTAATTACTTTATCTCTCTGAGCATCAGACTCCTCCTCTACCACTCAGAGCTATTGAAAAGATACTTAGAGAAGATATATTTTTGTAACTAAATCTCTAATTAGAGTAAAATTTCTTAATATTCAACTGCTTCCTACTAGAACTAAAGGCCAGAAAATTCCACTTAATAGACAATTGCCATTTTTGTTCTTTAACAAAGTAATATTCTCATTCTTTAACAAGTCCCTCCCTAACATAATGAAGGTTGACATTTTTCTTCCTTTAAAAAAAGTCTTATGGGCTGGGCATGGTGGCTTACGCCTGTAAACCTAGCACTCTGGGAGGCGAGAGGACCATTTGAGCTAAGGTATTGGAGATCAGCCTGAGCAAGAACGAGACTCGGTCTCTACTAAAAAAAAAAGAAAGAAATTAATTAGCCAACTAATATATATAGAAAAAATTAGCCGGGCATGGTGGTGCATGCCTGTAGTCCCAGCTACTCGGGAGGCTGAGGCAGGAGGACTGCTTGAGCCCAGGAGTTTGAGGTTGCTGTGAGCTAGGCTGACGCCATGGCACTCGCTCTAGCCTGGGCAACAAAGCGAGACTCTGTCTCAAAAAAAAAAAAAATTTTTATAAGTCAACATAAAAAAATGTCAACTTAACAGAAAAATGGGCCCCCCAAAATTTGAACAGATGCTTCTCAAAGGGGAAAATTCAACTGTTCAACAAACATATGAAAAGGTGCTCAATCTCATTAGCAACCTGAGAAATGAAATTCAAACCACAACCAGAAATCAGTACATACCAACCATATTGTTAAAAAATGTAAAGTGTGATAGTACCGAGTTTTAGAAAGGGTACACACTCTAGGGGGGAGAGGAGGCATGGGCAATATATGTAACCTTAACACTTGTACCCCCATAATACGCTAAAATAAAATAAAAAATAAAAAAATAAATAGGTACAGAACAACATTAGCTATTATTTACCTCTAGTGGAAGTGTGAATTGGCACAACTTGGAAATCATTTTGGCATTATCTAGTAAAGTGGAAGATAGGTATACCTTGGGATCCAGCAATTCCACCTCTGGGTATAATATCCTAGAGGAGCTTGGTACCAGTATACAAGTATAAGAATGTTCACAGTATCATTGTTTGTAATAGCCAAAAACTGGTAACAACCCAAATTTCCATTAACAATAGAATAAATAAATGAATAGTGATAAATTCATACAATGGAATACTGTACACACATGAAAATTAATGCATTACAGCTACATACTAGGACGTGTATGAATCTTCAAAACATTAGTTGACAGAAAGAAACAAGACATAAAAATATATAATCTATGATTTCATTTATGTCATTCAAAAGTGGGGAAATTAAACTATAATGTTTATAAATGATAAAAGTGCAAAGAAAAGCAAAGAAATTACTATGAAATCAGCCTAGTGGTTCCATCTAGGAAGGGTGTTGACATTAGAATGAACACATTGGGACAGGGGCTTCACAAAAGCTGTCAGCATTTTTTGATTTCTTGACCTGGATGGTGATTAATGGGTATTTGCTTTATAATTACTCATTAAGGAAATAGCATGTTTTAGCACTGTCTGAATGTATTCCATATTTCATAATTTTTAAAAGTAAAAATATGTATTAGCTTTCAAAATAAATGACAACATTTACATGAACATTTAGATCATTTCATTATTTAGCCCTAGGAATTCCTATATCTTTTTTAGTTCAATTCAAGATTAGTAATAAATAGAATTAAATTGAATCTTCAGTTTATTATCAAATATTGTTTATATAGTAATATGTGTATAAAGTACATATAGTAATAATATGTATATAAAATAAAAAACTAAAAATAGGCTGGGCGCGGTGACTCATGCCTGTAATCCTAGCACTCTGGGAGGCCAAGGCGGGAGGATCTCTTGAGCTCAGGAGTTTGAGACCAGCCAGAGCAAGAGCAAGACCCTGACTCTACTAAAAAATAAAAAAAATTAGCCAGTTAACTAAAAATAGAAACAAAAAATTAGCCAGGCATGGTGGCTTGCGCCCATATTCCCAGCTACTCAGGAGGCTGAGGCAGGAGGATCACTTGCATCCAGGAGTTTGAGGTTGCTGTGAGCCAGGCTGATGCCATGGCACTCACTCTAGCCTGGGCAACAGAGCAAGATTCTGTCTCAAAAAATTAAAATTAAAATAAAAAAAATTAAAAACTAAAAATAAAAACAGAAAAGGTCCACTTCAAATAGATATGTAATGTCACATTTCTATCAGAAAGATTTTATCATGTTATACTGCAGTGTTTAGGGACAATCTATAAATGATTGCTAAGGATTGTCCCCTGAATATTTGGCAAGACCAAAAATTCACTGTCTAGCAACCAACCTATATCGATTGTTGTCATACTTACTGTTTTATATCTGAAGCCATTCACAGTTAAGTGTTTTCTTTTCTATGGTGTATAGATTATGAGAAACGAGCTCTTAGAGAAGTACTACAAACACGGAGGCAAGTTTCTGACTTCATTTCCAGACGGGACAACGCAAATATTGTATCCTTTCTTTCAACATATTACTTTTATTAGCTTTATTTTTTCAAAAAAAAGAAAGATAAAGAAAGAAAATACAGAAAAAATATAAAGAAAAAATATTATTCTCAAATTCTACCACTGAGAGAAAAGCTGTTAGCATTTTAAAATATATTTTTCCTTACTTCTTTCTGTCTTATGAGCACATATATATAGTTCTTTAAAAATCAATTCCCCAATTATTTATTCATATTTCACAACTGGCTCCTTTACATAATGATATTACAAAATAAGTAATGTTAGAAATATATAACATGCAATAAATATAGAGATACCATTTTTATAACCACATGGTATTTCACTATAATTCATTTAGTCTATTTATCTCCTATTAATGAACAAAGGTGGTTTCACTATTTTTGCTATTATACACGACAGCTAAATGAACAGCCCTGTGTATACTTTGTTGCATTTATCATTTATTTCTTTGAATTAAATACCAAAGGGTAGAAATTCTGGGTAAGACATTTGGACATTTTAAAGCTTTGATAGATTTTGCATCCCCCCCAAGCCCCACCCTCCAGAAAGTGTGCACCAGTTTTCACACCCATGAGTAGCATGTAATTTTTTAATACCAAAATTCGATATTCATTTAATGGAACACTTTTTTTGATCACTTGGACTTCTGCCCGATGGCCAGGCTATTCACTTAATATTTCAACATATAGACTACTTAATTTCTTGAGGAAAGTAAAAACAAAAAGCAAAAAAATGAGGTTTATTTTTATGAACTGAGGCCCTCCCTTAGTAGAAGAAAGTCATTTTTAGTCATAATTTCCTAAATGTTCAGTCAAACTCCAATAATAAAGCAGAAAACCTACTTTTGTGGCATAGGAAGCATAATGAAGTTTTAGTTCCCTAGGCCCTATGAGAGGATAGGGTTTGTTTTAATTATATCAATAAACTTAACATAACTTACCCAACCTTTATTATTAGTTATTATTTCATGCACTGACTTTAATTCTTCTTAACTCTCTTGAAGGCTATGGCTGCTTTCAAGATGATTTAGAATCAATTTTGTGTTGACTTTATCTCTGGACTTCTGGCCAGCCTAGATATAAACTGAGTATTAACATTTAGTGAATTATCCTTAGTATATTTTATTCTTTTTGATGCTATTGAAAATGGAATTGTTTTCTTTATTTTTAGGATGTCCATTGTTAGTGTACAGAAATACAGTTTATGTTTGTACATTGATCTTGTAGTCTACAACTCTGCTGAACCCATTAGTTCTAATACATTGTTTTGTGGTTTCCTTAGGATTTTCTATATATACGAGCATGTTATCTGTGCATAGGTACAGTTTTACTTCCTTTTACAGTCAGGATGCCTTTCATTTGTTTTTCTTTCCTAAACTTTGTATGGCTAGAACCTCCAGTGCAATGTTGAATAGAAGTGGTAAGATAACATCTTTGTTTAGTTTCTGATCTTAGGGAGAAAGCACTCAGTCTTCCACCATTAAGTATGATTTTAGCTGTGGGTTTTTTTTTGAGACAGAGTCTCACTTTGTTGCCCAGGCTACAGTGAGTGCCATGGCGTCAGCCTAGCTTACAGCAACCTCAAACTCCTGGGCTCAAGCGATCCTTCTGCCTCATCCTCCCAAGTAGCTGGGACTACAGGCATGTGCCACCATGCCCAGCTAATTTTTTCTATATATATTAGCTGGCCAATTAATTTGTTTCTATTTATAGTAGAGATGGGGTCTCGCTCTTGCTCAGGCTGGTTTAGAACTCCTGACCTTGAGCAATCCGCCTGCCTTGGCCTCCCAGAGTGCTAGGATTACAGGCATGAGCCACCGCGACTGGCCTAGCTGTGGGTTTTTTATAGATACCCTTTATCAAGTTGAGGACATTCCCTTCTATTCGAAGTCCATTGAGTCTTTTTTTTAAGAAGAAGTGTTGAAGTTTGTCATATGGTTTTTCTGTGTCTATTGAGATAATCATGTGTTTTTTACTCTTTATTCTATTAATATGGTATATTACATTAATTGATTTTCAGATATCAAACCAACTTTGCATTCCTGGGATAAATCCAACTTCATTGTGGTACATAATCCTTTCTATATATTGCTAGGTTTTATTTACTAATATCTTGTTAGGGATTTTTGCATCTCATAAATATATTTTGATCCACATAAAAAGCATAAAATCTTTTTGTAATAATAGTACGTCCTATATTTGGACTGCTTTATGATTTCACAGGGCTCTCTCATAAGGTAAGTTTATTCCAGATTAGTCAAGAACCATTAGAACACCTTACATGACCTTATCTGACCTCAGCTATCCATCTGGAAACCTAGCTATCATCCGAGTACCCAACAAGATACATGGTTTCACATGTATAGTGCAAGAAGACGTGCACACCAACCCTGCCATCCTGGCAGTGCTGGATTCCTCTGGCAGAAGTTCCTGCTATCACCCCAATGGAAATGTCTGGTAGGCTTCTAGGTTTTTTCTGTGGTCCTTTTGGTTTTTTGGTTGTGTGAAATTTTATTTTTCTTTTTAAATTATATGAATGGCTTTAAGAAGATTTATTTAAGTTTGTGGCCTTTAGATAGTAACATTTAACTCAGAGACATTTTTGGTTTATGTCATTCCATATGCTTCTCAGAAAAATCCCAAGCTACTATATAAAACAAAGCTCAGTATAGTCTTTCTATAAACAGTAAGAAAATATGAGCTATATAATTGCAATATTAAAAAAATCTTAATAAATTATATGGTAATTCTAGAGATTTGGCATATGAACCTACGCAGTCTTTAGAGCCTGTGCCTTGATGATGTTATGCTGCTGCTTCTATGGAAATAATTTGTCAAAGGACAGTTGCTACGTTATGTTTTTATTGTTTGAGATACAGTCCTAACTAGTAAGCCTCCTACAGCCACAACCAACAACAATAATATATAAACAAAATCTTTAAAGAAGGCAGAGCACAGTGGCTCACTCCTGTAATCCTAGCACTTTGGGAGGCCAAGGTGGGAGGATAGCTTGAAGCCAGGAGTTCAAGACCAGCCTGACTAACATAGTGTGACAAATAGAAAAATTGGCTGAGCATGGTGGTGCATGCCTGTAGTCCCAGCTACTCGGGAGGCTGAGGCAGAAGGATTGCTTGAGCCCAGGAGTTTGAGGTTGCTGTGAGCTAGGCTGACGCCACGGCACTCTAGCCCGGGCAACAGACCCAGACTCTGTCTCAAAAAAAAAAAAAAAAAAGTCTATGAATCAATGCATTTATAAGGGGGTTGAAATTTTATTTTAGAAGAGAGGTTTTAGAAAATTTAAAACATATATTTACTTTCATGTGACCCTTTTCCCATTAGATTCAAAGCACTTAAAAACGATTTCTTATCAACTTTCCATGGATATTCCCCACACAAAGATGCCTAAGGACGTACTATTTGATTTTGAACTTAACAATAGTAACATATCGATTGTTTCTTGTGATTCTAGGATAACATGTGGAAAGGTAATTAACTTGTAATTGTTTTACTTACTATTTCTTAAAAAATATTGATAATTTTAATTGATATTAATTTTGAATTGATATTTTTGCATGTTGGTCAAGTAATTGCAATGAGAAATCATAGTAATTTTAGAATAATTAAGATTAAGCCAATGTATTATTTGTTTATTTATTTATTTCAGAATATTGTGGGGGTACAAATGCTTTGGTTACATAAATTGCCTTTACACTGCCCAAGTCAGAGCTACAGGCATGCCCCTCTCCCAGACAGCGTGCACCGCACCTGTTAGGTGTGAGTTTACCCATCCCCACCTCCCCTCTCCCACCTGCCTGACACCCAATGAATGTTACTTCTATATATGCACATAAGTTTTGATCGATTAGTACCAATTTAATGGTGAGTACATGTGACTATTTTTTAGAAAATCAGTTTCATCTGAAATTCTAAAAGCTCTCATGAAGTTTGGCTACATAACACATTTAAAAATTTGTCAAAAAGAATTGGTACAGAGTTGGCCTTTTCACTTCTACTAGACTGAGTCACAATGTCTTATGTTTTGGTTAAATGGTTAAAGCCTTTTTTACTTTAAAATGTAATAGTTGCACATTAAAGAACATTTGAAACCCTTAGAAAATTAAAAAAAAAGAGGAGAAGATTACCAAAATTCCCAACCACTATCCCCCAAACACTAATATTTTGATATTTTCTAGACTTATACCATCCAATATGGTGACAATACTGTATATGACTATTTAAATTTAAATTCATTAAAATTAAAATTACGAATGTAATTCCTCAGTTGCACTAGCCATACCCCAAGTCCTAGACAGCTGCATGTGACTAGTGGCTACCATACTGCAGTGAAGATACACAGAACATTTTTAGTATAATCAAAAGTTCTGTTAGTGCTGTTTTAGACTTTTTTCTTTGTATAAGTTTTTGTTAATATAATTGCATCATATATGTAATTTTTATCTCTTTTTAACCTAATAGTAAAAAGAAACTGTCCATGATATTGTATAGTTTACATTAATATTATTTTAATAGCGATGTAGTTTTTCATATAGTTTATTTAACTATTTCTTTACTTATATCAGTTGAAAAGCATTACTAGAGATATTAGTTAAAAGGACCACTTTTTAATGATAAAATTTCAACCTACCAGCAAGATATAACATTACAAAATATTTTTCCCATATCAACACAGCCTCAAAAATATATAAAGCAGGGCTGGGCGCAGTGGCTCACGCCTATAATCCTAGCTCTCTGGGAGGCAGAGGTGGGCGGATCGCTCAAGGTGAGGAGTTCAAAACCAGCCTGAGCAAGAGCAAGACCCTGTCTCTACTATAAATACAAAGAAATTAACATTGGGCCGACTAAATATCATATAATAGAAAAAATTAGCCGGCATGGTGGTGCATGCTGTAGATCCAAGCTACTCGGGGGCTGAGGCGAGGAGATGCTTGAGCCCAGGAGTTCTGAAGGTTGCTGTGAGCATAGCTGACGCCATGGCACTCGCTCTAAGCCTGTAGGCAACAAAGCGATGATTCTGCTCAAAAAAAAAAAAAAAAAAAAAAAAAAAATAAATAAAATAACATAAGTGACAGTGTAGTGCTGGGGACCGGGCGCTGAGTGGCTCACGCTCTAAATTCTGAGCTTCCTCGGGAGGCCGAGAGCGTGGGCGGAGTCCAAGGTCGAGGAGTTCCGAAAACCAGCCTGAGCAAAGCAAGACCCCGTCTCTTACTATAAGTAACAAAAGAATTAATTGGCCAGACTATATTATATAAGAAAAAATTAGACCGTGGCATGTGGCTGCAGTGCCTGTAGTCCATGCATACCGGCGGCTGAGGCAGAGAGGTACTGCATGAGCCAGGAGTTGAGATTGCGTGTGAGCTAGGCTGACGCCATGGCACATCACGTCTAGCCTGGCAACAAAGTACGAGGATCGCTCCAACAAAAAAAAAAAAAAAAAAAATAAACATAAAGACAGTGTAGTGCTGGGACAGGATAAACAAAGAAATCCATATGCAGAATAAAGAGTCTAGAATCAGACTTATGCATACATGCATATCTGATTTATGACACGTGGCACTGCACAATAATAGAGAAAGGATAATCTTTTATAATACATAGTGCTGGGACGATTGGGGATCCATATTATTTTTTTTTTTTTGAGACAGAGTCTTGCTTTGTTGCCCAGGCTAGAGTGAGTGCCGTGGTGTCAGCCTAGCTCACAGCAACCTCAAACTCCTGGGCTCAGTAATCCTTCCTGCTCAGCCATCCCGAGTAGCTGGGACTACAGGCATGTGCCACCATGCCCGGCTAATTTTTATATATATATATTAGTTGGCCAATTAATTTATTTCTATTTATAGTAGAGAGACGGTCTCGCTCTTGCTCAGGCTGGTTTCGAACTCCTGACCTCTAGCAATCCGCCCGCCTCGGCCTCCCAGAGTGCTAGGATTACAGGCTTGAGCCACCGCGCCCGGCCCATATTATTATTATTATTATAATTTTTTATTAATCTCTATTTCAAGTATTTTTTTAAATAAAATTGGAACCATTACTTCACACCATATGTAAAAATCAAGTGGATTATAGACCTAAATGGAAAGGTAAAAAACTACAAAGATATTTTTAAATACATTAATAGCAAATGGTTTTATGACCTTGGGTTAGGGAAAGATTCAGTAACAGATAGAAAAAAAGCAGTAGTCATAAAGGATTTTATAAATTAAAATTTTTATAAGTCAACAAAAAAATGTCAAACTTAACAGAAGAATGGCCCCCCAAAATTTGAACAGATGTTTCAAAGAGGGAAAATTCACACTGTTCAACAAAACATATGAAAAGGTGCTCAACCTCATTAGCAACCTGAGAAATGAAAGTCAAACCACAACCAGAAACAGACTACATACCAACCATATTGTTAAAAAATGTAAAAGTGTGATAGTACCGAGTTTTAGAAAGGGTACTACACTCTAGGGGGGAAGAGGAGCATGGGCAATATATGTAACCTTAACACTTGTACCCCCATAATACGCCTAAAATAAAAAAAAAATAAAAAAATAAATAGGTACAGAACAACATTAGCTATTATTTACCTCTAGTGGAAGGTGAATTGCACAACTTGGAATCATTTTGGCATTATCTAGTAAAGGGAGATAGTATACCATTGGGATCCAGCATTCCACCTCTGGGTATTAATCATCCTAGAAGGAGCTTGGTACCAGGTATACAAGTATAAGAATTCACAGTATCATTGTTTGTCAATAGCCAACAAACTGGTAACAACCCAAATTTCCATTAACAATAAGACATAATAAATGCAATAGTGATAAATTCATACAATGGATATACTGTACAGCACATGAAATTAATGCATTACAGCTACCTATACTAGGACGTAGTAAGAATCTTCAACAACATTAGTTGACAGAAAGAAACAAGACATAAAAATATATAATACTATGATGTTCCATTTATGTCAGTTCAAAAGTGGGGAAAATTAAATATAATTTTATAAATGATAAAGTGACAAGAAAAGCAAAGAAATTACCTATGAAATCAGCTAGTGGTTCCATCATAGGAAGGGATGTTGACAATTAGAATGAACACATTGGGACAGGGGCTTCCACAAAAACTGTCAGCATTTTTTGATTTCTTGACCTGGATGGGATTAATGGGTATTTGCTTTATAATTACTCGATTAAGGAAAGTAGCAATGTTTTAGCAACTGTCTGGAATGTATTCCAATTTCATAACTTTTAAAAGTAAAAAATATGTATTAGCTTTCAAAAATAAATACAAACATTTACATGAACATTTTAGATCAATTGCATTATTTAGCCCTAGGATATCCTACTATCTGTTTTTTAGTTCACTTCAAGATTAGTAATAAATAAGAAGTTAAATTGAATCTTCAGTTTATTATCAAATATTGTTATATTAATAGTAATATCGTGATAAATACA